TTGTTTACCTCAGTTGGCTAAAGCCGTATGGCAGCATGCTCGTCTCTTAATCCTTATGTATATAATTCGATTCTCTCTGGCGGTGCTAATAAGGCTGATGCGAGGTCGAACTCGAGAAGTGCCTTTGATGAGAATGCCCTTTTGGTAGGCTTGGAGCCATGAATTTCATTACACAATAAGGTATTGTCTTTATGTTTTCTTGATTAAGCTTTCTGCCAGGTTTTATAACATGATACGAAACTGGTGAACGTTGACATTATCCCCTTGGACTCAAGGATAGTTTCTTGATTGATAATTTATTTATTACCGCCAATGACAACAGGAAATAGAGAAGCCGTGAATTTCTGCTGATTCAATGAGTGTGAGAATCATGAGTAGTACGTAGAGCGGATTTCCTTATAACCCACAATTAGTCGAATACATCTATATGAAGAAACACTATGAAGAAAAATTAAAGGAAAGGAAGTATGAAGCCCAAGATGGTGTGGCCTTATTTTTATGGTCGCAGTCTCCTTCCGTTGTATAGAAGTTGTTTGACCTTGTTTTCGCAACTTGGTCATATTGGTAGGAAGACTTAGAGGACAAGGTAAGTTACTATAAGTCTTCCTACCAATATGACCAAGTTGCGAAAACAAGGTCAAACAACTTCTTTAAAAGAAAGGAATTTGTGAATTGGGGAAGAGGAAGAAGGGCTGAGTAAGAGGAAGCTTCGAGTCTGATCAGTACTCTCATACTTCACATGACTTTGAATTTGCATACACGCAATACGCAAGTAAAATACTTCAGGATCATAGGTTTGATTATTTAAGCAAGAAAAAAGCTGCTTCCACATCCATTTCCTTTTCTTGCATGAAATGGCCAACCAAATCAAGTCTAATTAATGAATGTAATTGCAACGGGATACTCTTAGTTTTTCGGCATACTGCATTTTGTGTGTTTTACCATACAGGATGGTTTATCGCCCTGACAACGCCCTTCCCATGACAGACGAAAGCTTAGCAAGGGTTCAATGCAGTCGCAGGTCGGTGGGCCGGAAACTTATTTGCATAATCAAATCGTCTTTACTTCTCCATCGCAATTCTGCTTCGGCTTCCGGTGAAGCTAATTCACGAATTCGTTGCAACAAACTTTTCTTTCGAAATGAAAAGTGGTAGTATATTCCTACTTGCCTCATGCCGACTAAAAGGGGAATCAGAAAAATCCATTTTCCACCTTAATGCATTCAAGAGCTTAGGTAGAGCCCACTGCGATCCTCCGACAACATCATTAAATCGCCTATCGTTGACTTCTTCTAAAGGTAACTGGGCCGTAACGCCTGCCCTTTGGGCGCCTAGTCCTAGTCGGAAAAGATACAGTTATCTCCAGGCCCAAACAACATTCCCACCATGTTGTGTATGTCCTCCAAGATGGCGTAAACCGACTAAGCAAAATGAAATGCTTTGACCAATTATTCTACAAGTACATTATTGCTAAAAAAACGTCTTATTGTCCAGACCTGCAACCAAAATATACTTTGTCTCAACCTCCTTGGCAGCGTCAGGTGTATTGGATGTCGAGCCATGTGGACTCAAAATGATTTAATTTGCTACACCCCATAGTTCTAACGCTAAGGAGGGGGCAAAAGCATTTACGGCTGAGGAAAAACTATACAACCTTCTACTACTACCACTAGTAGGAAGAGGTAGGCTGGTTCATTACAGCAGAACTGGCAACAAAAATAGGCTATAAGTCATTATATGAAGTCACATAAGAGGATGCATTTTTCTACAATGAGATGAATGAACCTCATGATTCCATTAATTTTCATCTAGCCTTGAGTTCCTAAAAGGTATGTTCATCCAGATTGCACAACAATTTTGAACTCACCCGAGGTTCACATCATTCCTAACAGAAATTGATCCCAGACAGTGTAGCCAATAATCTTGACATGTTGGCACCATAGCAAACGAGTGCCAATCGGTCACGGGGCAGACACAAATTTCAAGGCAAATCAGGCCCTTTCAATGTCACATAAGCAATGGGACTGACGATGAGGCAAACTTGTATTTTGCCATTACAATTGATCACACTACTTATATTAATAATGAGTAAGTCTAGATATTGCCAGTAGATCTTGAATAGCTACTACCATGAGACCTACAGGCTCTCGTGGCAATGTGGCCTAGTAGGAACATGTCGAAATTACAAACGATCTTATTCGAGTTCGATTTCCGTTTGAGGTTTCGGAACGAAACTGCAGCCAAAGCTGAGTAAGAATACATTTTTTTGAGGCAAGCTTTATGGAACCTACACTTATCACTATGACAAAATCAAATATTAGACCTTTATCACCTTATGCCTTGTATGATGACTAAAATTGACATTCAGCACCTACTGATGGCCTCGAAACTAACTCATAATTAATATAAGTAACTAGACCGGAAAAAGTGTCAAGGATGGGTATTATGAGATGTACTCATCCTATTTCGTTTAAGGTGGTGAAGGAATGGTATTGCTTTTACACACAATCATATGATTAGAGCTGACGTTTCTATTGAATTTCACATAGCCTTGCTTTCCCAAAAGGTGTTCTCATTTAGGGTGGACTGCCGTTCCGACCTCGCATGGGTCCTATCAACACACTGTCATGCTTCGACTCTGTTTAGATATGTTGATAAGACCTATGCGAAGTCGAAACTGCAGTCCATCCTAGGGGATAACACCTTTTGGGAAGGCAAAGCTTTGTGAAATTCACTGGAAACGTCAGTTTTACTCGTAGCATTGTGAGAAAAATCAAATACCAGTCCTTCATCACCTTAATCGAAATAGGGTGAATACATTCCATATAACGGATTTAGTAGTAGTCTCGAAGACCTACTCAAAACTAAATATAAGAATGAGTATTAACCAACTAAAAATAAGTAACATGTGCTTCTGTCGGAAGTTTAAACTGTTCTCTGATTCAGAATGATTACGATATTCTTTTTTTCGAATGTATTTTCTATGCTAGGATAAATGAAAGCAATCGGTACTTCTTCAAGAAGATCTTTATTCACTCAAAATCGCGTTAGGTGATAGAGAAATTTACCACAATGTTCATTATTCCTTTGAATTTCACATATTTTTTCTCCATAAAAGGTGGTCTTATACAGAGCGGACTTCATTTTCATTTTGGCTTAGCTGTCAGTAGCTTTAACTCGGAAACATCATCACGATAATTTACCATGCCGCTACTTAGCTACAGGTATCTGTTGGTTACAGGATAGCTATGACTCCCAGGGCTTTTGATGCATCAGCCAAATCACCTTTATGTGCTCCTGTAGATATCGTATACTTTACTCGGATTAAGGGAGATTGAGCTAGAGGCCCTTGAGCAAGCGAAAATCAACCCTTGATGTTATCGCATTTTCCATCAAAGCATTAGCAAATTCCTCTTCTGTACTAGGCATGTTATCAGGATTAGGATCGCCGGCTACATAGGCGCGAGCGGCCAGTCCTCTATGACTATATGCTGTATGAAAAATAATTGAAAGGAACATCATTTTCTACCTTTAGGTAGGCAGACCGAACTTAAAGATTACCACAGTCAAGTTCCTGCCAAATGTTCCCTTTACATACTACGGCTAGAGGGTAGTCATTTTATAGGCTTCCTTGCCCGACCATACAGAAGAAAAGTCCTGGTGAAGAATAGCCAGTTTGAGTATACGTGAGACGTGGGTCAAGCCGGAACTTCATCAGCATTTTCTTCACATTTTCATTTGGCTAGATCTCTTTGATAGTCCCAGAGCTGAATCAGACCAGCCCATGGAACCATTCTGTCTGATTTCTGTGATCGGTCTTATGTGTGCAGTTTTCACTTTTTATATAATATTGTTGTTATTTATAGCAAGTTGGACCAGAAATTAGCCTATTTTGATGACGCAGATCTATTTTCTCTCTGTTTCTCACAACCCTTTTATGCTCCTCTTCACCGCCTGCCACCCTTCCCTCCTGAAGCATCATAGCCTAGTCCACTTTTGTGTTCAGACGGCTCTATTCTCCCCCCTTCCCCTAACTTCCACTCGATTTTCCCGCTTTCCTCACCTTTGCCCCACTCTCTCGTCTGCTCGACTTCCTGCCATCGCAAGAGGCGTATGAATACTCGACTAATTAGGCAGAAAACTCGGCTCATTTCATTTCCACAACAGGCCTCTCTCTATCAGGCACCCCACTGGTTAATTTGTGAGCATTCTGTTCTTGCGATCCCCAGTTTGCGTAGGCCCAATCTTTTGCAAGTCGTCCAAGCATGCTTGTACATGCGAATAGATGATGATATTGATGGCGTCTTCGGCGACAACCAAAAGGACGACTGTGAACTCGAGAAGAGAACACATTTCATGCAGTGTTAAAGATAATATATCGTTGATCTCATGCACAGGCTTGTATGTTTGCCTGTTTAGGTGGGATGGGGTTGTTGACATGAGAACGGCTCGACTGGGTGGAGGCCGATAGTCCTCAAGTCCGGTGAATAGCCGAACTTGTCAGGATAGTTTCATTCATTAACTGATCTCTTTAAGGACCTGGCAAATGAGGCGAGTGGCAAAGTTTGGCCCGTCTTTATGACTGTTCGGATGTCCCAGCTATCGACAGCTACTACTCAATGAGGCAGGTTGAATAGTCGGGCAATTTGTCCGTCTTAATGGCCTGTGGGAGTCGGCGTACATCGTCCAATGTGGTGGTCTTTTAGACATTGAATAGGGAGGGGTGGCTCGCGGCCGACTTGGTGACCTTACTTTCGTGGCTCTTGCCTGTTGGGAAAACATAACTCGGCAACTTTGAGTGCAGTCAAGATGTACAGCAGCCGCCCGCAAGTTGACTTGTTCAGACAGTCCCGTCCCGTCGAGTTCAACTTCATATGATGAGATCTATTAAGCAGACGTATTCAATTCGTGTAGCCCCGCTAAGAACCTAAGTCTGATCTGATTATTTTTGTCTCACCAAGGGGACAAAGAGATGGCATTTAGGTGTTCTTGCTTACAGGTTTTCAGTCCGTTGTACTAGTGACTCAATTTACAGTTTTATACTAAAGTGACTCATATCCTCTTGTTCGAACGCAAAACGCAATTTGCAAATTCCATACCTTGTTTAAAACCGTGGTATAATAATAGCATCTACACAATACTACAATCACACTTGGAGGTAAATATAAATAGTTGTCTACAGGTTAACATACACAATAGCAGATTTAACCGTCATGCTTAAATAGATCTGTATTATATATATATGTATATATATATATAACCTAATTTTCCCAACATGATCTTGCTGCCAGACCGACCTAAATGAATGCATCTTGTCCGAAGGCTTCTGCTATGGTGATTGCTACATATCCACACGATACTTCTTAATAGTGATTATTCGACCTTGTTTTCGCCACTTGGTCGTAATCTCAGGGGGACCTAGGGGAACGTACCTCCCCCTGTGTCCTCTGCCATAGTATTCGTGATTTCCAGCATCAGACCGTTGACTTGGTACATCCCCAAACGTTTCGCCCTCATCGCAGTCGGCATTTCCAGTGAGAGGCGCCATCGTAAGTACAGAGTTACAACTTATCAAAGTGACAAGTGAAGGAAATCTCCTTGACCGATTTTCTCATCAACCGTCGTGGTATCACTCCTCGCCCCTATTTTCTTTTCTGCCCTCTAGCGCCACATCTCTTTATTTCAACCGAACTTCATATGGCCCATCCCCTTATTCACACAATTCTGTGCTCTCATTTCCTCTAATGTCGCCTGCGAGTGTGTCTCTACAAGTGGGTTTAGTGAAGCGTAATCATCTCCACCACCGGTACCAGATGCCGTTTGCAGGGCTTCTGAACTTCATTTCGCCCCCTCCACTGTGACCAAAGAGCAGGCCCCACCATCCTGATCTTCATGTATACGATAATTCTTAAGCACAGATTGATTAGGTTGTTAAATATACCAAGTCCACGATACAGCACTGGGAATTATCATAACTACTATAGCTGAGGCCTTCGGAAAGACCTAGATTGCTGTGGCAACACGACAAATTTGCGAAAACGAGGTGAAACTACTCCTATATAGCGATCAGAGCAGAGGCCGCAACATCCCATGTTTCATATTTACGACTAATTATTTCTCGTTTCGAGTAGGCTTTTGAGACTTCCAATTAATCATATATGTCAGCTATGTTTCCTCTATTTCGTTTAAGGTGATGAAGGGCTGGTAGTTGAATTTTCCCACAATGATATGAGTAAAGCTGACGTTTCCATTCAATTTCATATAGCTTTGCTTTCCCAAAAGGTGTTCCTATCCAGGATGGACTGCAGTTTCTACTTCGCCTAGGTCTTATTAGCACCTCCATTGGTTAATATGCCGATATTACAATCTGAACTGTCATTATTCGACTCCCTCTGGAGGTGTTGATAGGACCTAGGCGAGGTCGAGACTGCAGTCCACTCTGGATGAGAACACCTTTTGGGAAAGCAAGGTCATGTGAAATTCAGTGGAAACGTCAGCCCTATTCGTATCATTGTGGGACAATTCTACTAGCAGTCCTTCATCACCTTGAAAGAAATAGGGTGAACACAGCTAATATACGATTAATTAGATTTGACCAGTAGATATGTCAATGTAGTGCTGGTGGTACAGATAAGGTGATTATGCACGTCCAAAACAAAATTTCTGAGGTGGCGACCTTAAAACATTACAAGCTACCAAGAATAACTAGGTTTTGCTGAGTCTATTGGGATAAAGGTTGTTTGACCTTGTTTTCGCAACATGGTCATATTGGTAGAAAGACTTATTGGAACACACCTAGTCTGGGGTCCATTGTTTGCATGATCATTTCCAAAGTTGAACCGTAGACGTGGTACATTCCCAGACGTTTCAACGGCATCCTAGTCGGCATCGTCAGTGAGTATCGTCATTCGTAGCATCACACAACAACTCGTCAAAGAGACAAGTGAAACCGATCCTTTAACCAAACATGTGCTAAACAGTTGTGGTATCTCCCTTTCTGCCCTGGGCTATTCACATTTCCTAACTTATCCTATAACAACTTCCCTGTCACAATTTTACCGTGCTTATTTTGATGTAGTGTGGTGTGCTCCTTCGAGCGGCATCCATGAAAACTCTTCATACTCCATATGGCGTTCTCACCCCCTTCCAACTTGTGCTGGGAATGTTGACCAGAATCA